AAAAAACTTCCACTGCTTTCTAATAGATTTCTCATGTTTTACTCAGTTGTGGGAGTTTTCTGCTGTGCTGCAGTTTGACTGCAAAGGAGTTTCAGACAGAGTACCCTGGCCAAAGCTAGCATTTGATACAGTGATGCTGGCAGGATGCTATTCTAGAAATACAAATAGTTTGTTTGGGTTTGCCTTTTTTTCCTTAAGCTTGACAGAGTGTGCACAAGTCCTGAGATGAATTGAGGCTCCCACTGCCTGTCCCTCAGGAGAACATGGGACCATCTCTCTTTTCTACAGAGGGAACACGTGGCCTTTAATCTTCCTGACTTTTTCTGGAGCCACTTTCCATCACTCTAGAAGTTTAACAAAGCTTGAGAGTTTAGTGAGAAAGAAATGTCCGTGTGAAAGCTCTGCCTCCAACTGGTATTATCCAAGTGTGAAATCGCTTCCCTTTGTTCCATGAATTTCAGGGTACCACATCCCTCGGTAGTAAAACCAAATAACTGAACTGAATAGAGAGCAGAAGAAAATGTGAAGAGACTCTCTTACTAGCCTTCTTGATTAAATGGATTGCATTATGATTGGCTCCAGCTCAGCAGGTTTTTGTCATAGCAGTAATTACCATCTCTTCTTTCTATGCCATTTTTACAAATCTGGCTGAATTTTGATGTTTTGTTGGCACTCTTCAACTTCAGTGAATGCAGGAGAAGAGTTGTTTAATTTAAATGAGTGTTAAAAGAACACGCAAAAATAACTGCAAAATGAAGGATCTGGTGTGAATAACTTCGCAATATGAGAGACTATTTCCTTGAGTAGCATCACTATTCTAAGCTTTATTTTTGTGAATGCTTTGCAGATGAGAACAAGCTGATTGATGACATTGCAGCCCAACACCCATAATGGACTACTTTTGAATCTTTGAAATATCCAAGCAAATTCCAGGAGGTGACATGGCAGAGCAATCTCTTTTCTCCTATTTTCTGCATAAAAACATTTCTTGAAAGCTAACCTGAACTTCGGTATATTGTATTCCCATGCATGGGGCTGTTCCAAAGCCTAAAGGGAATAGTAGCAACCTTTAATCGATTTTAATGGAGTTTGAATCAGTTCTTAAATAGACAGAAAATTGCAGAACAGAGCACTGGGTCCTGCATGCACATCCTAGGTGGCTCTGAAACTCAGTTCATTAAGTTTTGTAGATGAGTTTCAGAGCTTCTGATTAAGGGTGCTATTGAAGATACGAAATGGTGACATTTTAGAACATGTGAAGCAGGTATATCAAGTCTCAGGAATATATTGCCATTTGTTTGAACCCAGAACGCTGTATGAACTTGGAAACTGCCTGTGGAGTTACTTCTGAATGCCGAAATGTTTGATTATAGGATTGCAGGAGGAGCCTGGTGAGGAAATACTCACTATTATAGCCAAAGGAAAGCAGTGCAGTGTATGCTCAGAACAGCAAGTCTCAGCAGAAGGCTTTATGGCAGTTATCCATTTAGTTCTTGTCAATTTTAGGAGAATTTATGATATATAAATCTTTTTTAGAGTTTTGTGGGCTTTGGTTGCATTTCTTACAAAATCCCTTCTGTGCAGGTTCAGGGGAGGCTGGAGGCACTGTAAGAAGGATCTCATTTACTGTTTAATTTCACCATTTCTTAGAGTAAGCATTATAGACTATTGGTAGATTTTTATAGGATATTTCTAGCTTCCATCCCTGTTATATTTCCTCAAATTTCCCATTATTTTATTTTTTATAGTCTGTGTGGCAGAATTCAGGCTTTTATTTAGACACCTTTAGAAAAAGAAAATAAAGGTCTTGATGCTACTCTTCTGTTTCTGTTTGCATCACTGAAACCATCTTTGCCATAAAACAAGCATGTGCACATTCAATAGCTAATGTGGATTTTAAATATGGGTATTGGGCAACACATTCAGCCCTTTTCCGTTCCAGTATCCTGAGAGATGGCTCCAACACCATGAACCTTCACAGATATATTTATGTTGGCTCCATCAAATTTAATGGGATCGTAAGTTAAATGGAAAACTAGATGGTAAAAAATGCTGGTGTTGAGTATCCTTAACCTGGATTCTGCAACTTCACTGTTAACTTAGAAATGGGCTTTTAAAGCTGAGTGGTACCAGTGTTAAATAACAGCCAGGGAAACATCTCAGGGTGTGTTTCCAGTACCAGCATCTCCAGTGGGCAGGTCTGTGTTTGATTGCTGAAGTTGTATCTGATTTCTGCAGCTTGTTGCAGAGGTCTGCAGTAGGAAATCAGCACTGGGTGTATGGGGCTTCTGTGTGATGCTTGCTGAGGGTATGAGCAAGTACGTTGACAAGGCTCTGTTTGCATTGTAAATAAGAGAAAAGAAGCTGAATTGGTTGTTGTTCCCTCTAGTTAATGTACTTTTGAACCTGCTCAGATGCACCTGATGCCTTTTATTCACCTCTGTGCAGCATTACCTCTTGTTGGTTGGTCAGATAGTGTTTGGGTTTGAGTTTCATGGATTAGAGTAGCCTTTTCAGAAAAATGAATCTGTTCATTCCATAGAAGAGGTGCAACAGTGGAAAGTCAGCATCCAGCTCCATGCTGGCTGCTACATCCCACACACCTTCAGCCTGCGATGACACAGATACTGGAAGCTGCAGTCTTTTCTATCCTTACTTATTTGCCCCTTTTTGTCCCTTTTAATTTGAATTAATATAACCATTCATAAGGAAACCGCTGTCAGTTGGTGCTCTCATTTCCTGTAGCCTGTCAAGCAGTTACTCTGAAAGCAATGTGTTTGAGAAGTTCCTGTTCTCTGTGAACAAAACCCACTCACACTGATGTGCTAAAAACCACATTGAAACATCAAGCTGTACTAATTGCCACTTATTTTTGTTCCCCAGGAGAAAATATTATTGGAAATAATACATTGCTGATAATATATTTATGTGTTGCATATAAAAATTAAATGAAAAGGCATTAAATGTTTATATGATACGTTTAAGAACATTTAGTACCAAAATTGGCCCAGAGGGGGTACTGAGCTGCAGAAGCACTGTTTCTTTCAAGCTTTAATAAGTCAGGTGAGGGGATCACTGGAAGGTTACAAAGGAATGCTATTCCTTTTCCTACTCTACAGTTACCAGGGGTATAGTAAAGATTTCACTCTGTTGGTAAGTACTATGTCAAGATACCGACCTGCACTGACCAGATGTTGAATGTTTTATGGAAAGCGCTGACTCGGCTTTTTCTCTCCATGTTCATACACATTCTATATCCAAAACTTGAGTCTGGTCTAAATACATTTGTGGACAAGAGCTTCCTCAGTCCACCCAGCAGCACAAAAAGAAATCAAAGAGCAGGGGAAGGAGAAGTCTAACAGTGCTCAGGGAGAGCTCAGTGACACAGAAACAGGCTGTGATTTGGAATGTTGATTATCCACACTTGTGCTTCAACACTGAATAGAGAACTCATCATTTAAAAGATTACCTTGTAGATGATGGTAAGAGCACATTTTCTTCCTCTGCAGACAACATTTGTGCTGTGGCAACCATTATGGCTGGTGCTTTTATCAGTGATTTAGAATGGAGCTGTCACAAACTTTTAGAAGCTTCTATTAATGTGGTTTTATCTATCTAAGACCTCTGAAATCCATCAGAGAACACTGTTCTGGACTCCCTTTTACATAGGAGTGTGCAGCTGCACACCATGGCAGTCAGCTCCTCAGCCTTCTAGGAAGTCAGGCTGAGTGGTCCAGATTTGAGAATCCCTCAAGAGCTTCTTGGAGAGCAGAGCTTATGGATGCTTGGGAAGCAGTCCTGTCGTTTGTGGGGACAGCAGTGTGATGTGGCTGTGTGAGGTGGGATGGGGTAACTTAGCACTGGGAACACAACATCCCTGCTTTCATTGCCATGCAGCATGCATGTGTGTGGGTTTGTTTGCAGATGTGGCTGAATATTAAAACCATAGTGGGTTTACTATGTCATCTTCCAGTTTATTGGTAGTGAAGGTGTTATCTAGTGTTGGGAGTTTAAATGCTCTGCTTCTGTTGTCTCTTTAGTATCATTTCAATGTACGGCACTGAAACTTTCTTGTATCCAGCTGGGCATTTGCAACTGATGTATTGATTCCTGCTATGAAAGCAGTGTTAGCTGGTAGTGGCTGGAAGCGGTAGCTTTGAAGCTTGAGACAGGGAGAGCCCCAGGAGATCCATGTTACTGCCTTCCTGGTAGCCAGAATAAGAGCTATTAGAATAGTTCGGATATCTTCTCCTTATTTTTTTCTTTCCCTCTAGCACTTCCTTTTGGAAAGCCACTTGTCTTTTCCCTTGGTTGTCTTCACACTGTGTCAGTCTTAACAAGCAGCAAATGATTGACCCTGCTCAGCACCAAAGCACAGATGTGATGGCAGCTTAAGTGCTTCTGCAGGCCAGAAGGTAGATCATGCTCACCAAGTTTAGTTTGAGTTAGTGCCCCACCAGGGGCCCAGAGAAGCTGTGGCTGCCCCATCCCTGGCAGTGTTCAAGGCCAGCTTGGACAGAGGGGCTTGGAGCAACTTGCTCTAGTGGAAGGTATCCCTACCCATGGCAGGGGATTGGAGCTGGATGAGCTTTAAGCTCACAACACAAACCAGCCTGGGATTCTACGATTTGCATGTCTTGCGACCTCTGTGACGTGGTGGCTGAAGAAGAAAGCATCTGCTTTCATCAAATGGAATATCCATTATAGGTTGGATGTTTTATTAGTCACTCCTTTTTCCAGAGAATGACATTATTGAAGTTACTCTGTTTTTCACCAAGGTGTATCTCGATTAATTCAACTAAGTCAACGGAGCAAGTGATCAGCATCTTGCCCACATAGTGTCTGCTGCCACTGTTACTGGTGTGAAAGAACTCTGTGTACAATGATGTTCTACCTATGTATTTCTTACTTTGCTTTACTCTTTTCCTTTTATTGCTGGAAACATTCTTGATATTGTAGGCTCTTGGGGCTCTAAACTTCCCTTTCTCTCTCCCTCCTAGTGTCTATCAACTGGTTGTCAAGGAGGAGAAGCTGCAGAAAGCACGTAGAGCTGCAGACATCATCGAGTGCTTCTCTGTCCCAGTGAGCTACAGGAACGCTTCCAGTCTGGACTCACCACATTACTTTGCAGCTGAGCTGAAACCCATCAACCTGCCCGTCACTCAGCCCTTCACAGTGGGTGACAACAAAACCTACAATGGCTACTGGAATGCTCCACTTTCTCCCCTGAAAAGCTACAGCATATACTTCCAGGCTCTGAGCAAGGCAAATGGAGTAAGTGGAATATTGAAACTGTATATAAGAGCACCTCTGTCTATCCTCATCTTTCTCCCTCCTTCTCCATTGGATGCTAGTTTAACTCCTCCTTCTTATTATCCTCTTTAATGTACATTAAACATGCCATTACTTGTCCCTCACTCAAGTCTCTCTCTGATGTCTAGATCCAATGAGAAACCTACTGGGGAGCCAGACTCTAAAGGCACATTTTGGCATGTGATTTACAAAATGAATTGCTTGGAATTTGGCTTTGTTTTTCTTTGCATATGTATGAATGTCAGAGGCAGGGGCTATTGCGCTTTTGAAAGACATAATTGCAATACCTCAAGAGTCCCAAGTTCTCAGTGCTTGTGATTTTGGAGAAGACATGAGATGAGAACTACCCAAAAACTATGAAGTTGGATTACCTTGTAGCTTGCATTTGGTCACTTCATAATGTAGCACTTACAGTTGGGAGTGTCCACTTGAGGAAGTCATAGGGTATGTCTGTGTGCATGTCTGTCTTACTCCTTTTGAACACCCTGAACATATGCTTACACTGGGATACTAAGTTTAAAATGGAGACTGCACAGAAAACAATTTGGCCTGTTCTCAGGCTCAGATGACATCCACAAAATGACCCATCAGATCCCATTATAGGAAGAGGGAGGGCCTCTTTACAT